GAAGGAAGGTTGGGCAATCTACTTCTGTAAAGATACCACCTCGAAAACCCAAGGAGGGGTCGCTATGAGTCGGGTCTGACTCTGACTCGATGGCACGTAACAACAACAATAACATAATGATTCAACAGTATTGTTACCTCACACCTTCAAATGTTTATAGTCCAATTAGTCGGCTTCAAATTTGGAACCAAACTCAAAAGGAATCAAGGTTTTATATGGCTAAAAATAAATAAGAGAGGCTTATACAGAAGACACAAGGCAAATTCTTCAAGAAGCCAAAAAGAATGAATTGCTACTCACCGATATGGAAGCCTCTCGTAATAGGCCTTTTCCAAAGCAGCAAAATGATATCTTGGTTTCAAGCCTGTGGCAAGACTGGAAACCAAAGCAGAGCCACATTTTTTGGTATCCACTTCTCCCTATTAAATAGAAACGCAATCATTTATCATAGATGTGCTAGTTATCAAGAAATAACCAAAACACTTTGAAATGTCCTTGAAATTTTTATGTGGCTACAAAAGGTATGCAGCAGGATTTGCACAGGGAATTTCATCCTTACGGCAGTCAGAGAAATCTCACACACGTAAGGGGAACTGGGCTAATACAGACACCAAAAAAGGAGCAACTGCTGGAAGCCAGAGGTTTAAAGATAAGGTAACTCCTCAGTACCAGTATCTAAAAAATGGTTTCTTGAAGCCTTTTCTGGGACATAAATCCTCTCTCTGGAACCCACAGACTGTGCTTCTAGAATTTGCTGTGTAGTGTACGTATCATTCTAACAATGCTGATAGTCACAGTCAATGCAGAAAATAAAAAAAAATAAAAACTAGTCTCTGGGCCCCTCGGATGATACAGAATATTGGGCATGGGATACTCAAGGACCTAACTATGTAAGCACATAATCCTTTCTTTTGCTTTGGTCAAGAAAGGTATGATTTGCAGAAGAGCACAACAGCCCTTTGTAATACGAAGCCTGTCAACAGCAGACTGGTTATGGATGGTATCATCCACAACATGATTTATAACTCTATTTTAAGAAAAGGTATTAGCTGAAAAGAAAGAACTTAGCAAAGTCTATTTTGTATTAAGTAAAGCAGGACCTTCCTTTTCTCTTAGTTGCCTCCTGCAGATTTCTGCTGAAGGACAAGGAATTGTCCTTGAGGTTAGTTAAAGTATCTTAGGAACTAGTGAATTATTATGTTTTCTCCCCTTGAATATCTTTTATGGCTATTTATAAACGTTAATCAAAATCTTTCTAGCCCTTCTCCCCACTCCCAATAAAAGCGCCTCATTTTTTCTCATCCTTCCTTGTACAGCATCACATGTACTCTTTTCTCCCTTCCCTCACCCCTTCAGTACCCTTTCTCTGGATCGTCTCAAGTTTTACAGTGTATCTTCTCTGTACTACAGCCAGCACTGTCCCTTGTGTTTATTCTAGGTGAATGATAACCCTGGGTTTGTGGAAGGACAAGATAGCATTGTGCCTTTTGCTTTTAATATCCTCTTGGACAATGCCAAGTATTTTGATGGCCTTTTTGGTCATAGACATATTGTGCTAAAGCTGGCAGGCAGTGATAGGTTCCTTTTCTGGATCAACACTGATAACTCTGAATCCAGTAATCAACACTACTTGTACCTAAAAGCATTCTTATATTTCCCTTCACTGAAGCTCAATCAATGCTCTCTACCCTAACACACAACCTTTCAAGATCTTCCTTAGGCTTATCTCCATCAGCGTAGTAATGTACTCCCCTTGATAGGAGTCACCCACCAACACATGATACATCCTCTTCTAGATTACTTATAAAAACATTAAGATCAAATACAATGGTGAGTGCATCCCAACATTAAAGCTTTCCCATTAGAGAAGCCCTAAGTTTTCAACACTCATGTTTACATCAATTTCCTAAATCCCCTTATAACTGAATTTTTTAAAAATATTTTGATAGCTGAAAAGCTATTACTTGGAAGGGGAAAAATACAATCGCAGAGCTGCTGCTAGCTGTCAATCTTTTCACTGAAAGGTAGGGAACCTTCAAAATACATTCTTAAGCGGAAGCTTAACAGCAAGCACTTGAAGCAGGGAATATAATTTAAAGCCTCATTCTTTCATAATTAAGATTTCAGCAATCTCATCTGCGGATCACGCTTTTTTTTTTTTTTTTTTTAACTGTGATTTGGGTGAAAGTTTACAGAGCAAATTCACTTTCCATACAGCAGCTCACGTACGCTTTTGTCTCATGACAGTGACTAAAATTTCCCACAATGCAACAGCTCCCCTTCGACTTTCTCCCCAGTTACCTCTTCCCTGTGTCCTTCCCTCCATGCCCTCCTGCCCCGAGCTGTCTCCCTATGCATACACAGCTCTTCTATTTTCCCATGATTGTTTTCTCCAAGGAGTGAATCTACCTAATGTAAATGTTCAGCTCATATGCCTATCTTTTGTTCGGCTGGAAGCCACAGGACTTTGTTCAATTCCAGACCTGAGGGCAGCTAAGGGTCATAGTCTCAGGGGTTCCATCAAGCTCTATCAGACCAGCAAACCTGGTCCCCTTTTTTTGTTTTTTAAATGATTTTGAGTTTTGTTCCACATTGTTCTCCCACTCTATCCAGGATCTCCTACATAGATTCCCCTCCGAGTGACTGACAGTGGTAGCTGGGCACCATCTAGTTCTTCTGGTCTCATAGTCATATAGGCTGAGGATCGCATAGTGTACCAGTCATTTGGACTAATTGTTTCCATGTGTCTTTGTTTTTCTTCATTCTTCTTTGCTCTGGATGAGGAGAGACCCATCGTTACATTTAGATGCCTGCTTGTAAGCTTTTAAGATCCCAGTTGCTACTTACCAAAGTAAGATATAGAACAGTAGTATATGTTCTGCCACTGAGCTTGATGTCCCCTGCAACCATGATCCTGAGCCCACAGGTCCAACAACTTGTTCCATCTGGGTTGCTGGCTATGGCCAAAGAAATGACTATAATCTTTTCCCTTGTCAGCTCTTCTATATACCTGAGAATTCTTACAGAACAAACCAATACACTTGTAGAAACATTGTCTGCCAACTCTATACAGGGTCATGGGCATACTCCTCCCTGCATAGACGTACCTAATAGTTCAGCCTGTCCACCCATCTATCTGCCCATATATCAAATGTTTGCCTTCACTGACAATGCAGTACTGTATGTGCAAAAGGGTTCATCCTTGTCTGTGTCTCCTGTGTACCTCTCTGTCTTCCTCTTTCTCAATGCCACCGTGCTGATCACTCACATTTGGTATGCTGTCCTTCTCTTTACCCAAATCAATACTTGTCTCTACCTATCTAACAGTGTTCCTTCCCCTCCCCTCCCACCCCGGTAACCAACAAAGAAAATTTCCTTCCATATATAAACCTTTCCTTGACTCTTTATAATAACAGACTAATACAGTATTTGTCTTTCTGTGATTGACTTATTTCACTCAGCATAATGTCCTGCAAGTTCATCTACATTATGCAGTATTTTGCAGAGTGTACGTCATTCTTTAGGGTTGCATTGTAGTCCATTGTGTGTATGTACCATAGTTGGGTTATCCATTCTTCTGTTGATGGACACCTAGGTTGTTTCCATCTTTTGGCTACCGTAAATAGTGCTGCGATGAATATGGGTGTGCATACATCTGTTCTTGTCCTGGCTCTCACTTCTTTAAGATATATACCTAGAAATGGAATTGCTGGGTCAAATGGTATTTCTAATTCCAACTTTTTAAGGAATCGCCATACTGCTTTCCACAGTGGTTGTATCATTTTACAGTCCAACCAGCAATGTATGAGAGTCCCAATCTGTCCGCATCCTCACCAGCATTTGTTGTTATTTTCTGTCCTGTTGAACTTTGCTAGTAGTGCTGGGGCAAGATGGTATCCCATTGTTGTATTGATTTGCATGTCCCTTGGAAACCCAAGAAGAGGTCGCTATGAGTCAGATCCGATTCAATGGCAGTGAGTTTGGCTTTGAGTTAATGGGATTGTGCTTTCTTAAGATTGACTTTTAGCTTTGGTCAGTAAATAAAGCTTTTAGTACCTAAAAGATTCACAAAAGATGTCCACTGAAAGGTACCAAGAGCTAAAAAATATAAAGAGGCAGGGGGAGCCCAACTTAAGTCAATGCAATTTGCTTTTAAAAATTCCAAATGAACAAGCACTACTCACAGAAGAATTCCCGAAGTTCCCCACATATTTGGGCCATGGGGATGTGAGCAAGATATCAACACCCTTAAACTGGGATGCTGAGCACAGCATTGTTCTCAGGGAAGACACATCCTTGGGACTAAAACTATAACCTGGGACCGGCTCATTTAAGGACTCTGTTCCACTGAGGTACACAATCTGTAGCCCCGAGGCTCCAGTGAAGACACCCTTACGACCTGTGTTGGAAGGAAAATTGAGATGCTTTAGTCAAAATAGGAGGAAAAAAACTGTCATTACAGTGATGAACCCTTCTCCCCTTGCCATCACCTTCCTACTTCCCTGCCAGTCTACATGCTTAAATGAGTGTAAACTCTCCTGGAGCCCCACTTCTGGCTGCAAGTATCAACTAGCAGCTACCACAGTGTTCCTACTCAGTCACCAAGGGAAGCACTTTCCAACCAGCATGCCACTACAGGTAGGTCGAAACTGCTAGAGCCCCTAGGCCAGTTTGTTTACCCCAGAAGCCTTACAAATATTAATGAAAACTGGAGACTCTACATGGACTAAAAGAAACCCAGACAACTGGACAGAAGATGCAATGAGAAAAAAACAAAACAACTGTGGTTCTGAGGCAACCACAGCTCAGAAAAGATGTACCCTCTGGTAGGCAGCAACTTCCAGTGGATGGAAACACTTGGAATCAGCAGTTGTTTGGGAGAAACTAGATTCTACTCTCTTCCAAAGTTATCTCCTTGATTCTGTTCCTTCTTCTCATTCTAAGACATTCCTCCATTTCTCTTTCATCTATTGAGTATCTTCTCAACTGGCTCTTTCCTTTGCTATAATGAGACTGAAGAAAATGGAATAAGCTCAGGCCTCCCCATACAAAATGAACATATATAACAGCTTCCTCCTGTTTAGCTCCTGGGCTACAGTGAATTACTTGATCTGGCTCTTCTAGCCTTGGTCTTTATGACTCCCACCAGATGACTGGGTGGAACTATGCAAATGTGAGGTGCCTGTGGTCCCCCAATGGAATTGGGTAAGTTGTTAACAATGTAAATAAGGAACTTGGCACCCTTGTGGGACTGGGACCATGAAAATAAGGTATATGGAACTCTAACATGGGGATTGGTCAGTTTTGCTATTCACTAGGCTGAAAATGAGCCATCTCAGAGGTGGAAAGGGGGCTCTCACTGCCATTAAGAAAGGACCAGGAGTGTAGCATGTCCTTGCACCCAAGATCCCCATGCTAGACTTCCTTGGCTGGGAGTTGGTGGAGAGACGGCATCAGTAGAGGCAGCAGAACCAAGAGACCGGCATGAGACAGAGCAGCAGGCTTGCCGGCCCACAGAGCAAGAAAGCTGAGTGCCTTTGGGCAGGAGTTTTGCTGGTGGAGCAAGATGCATCTATTGATAGAGCTAAGAGAGCTTTGTAATACTTGCCACAGCAGGGCAGAAGCCAGGCCGAGAGGCCAAGGGTATGTCTGTGGGCAAGGCCATGGGGAAGCTGTCCTAAAGAAAGAATTGTATCCTGAGCGTTCCTGAACTTGAACCTGTCAGTTCCCTAATAACCCCATAATTGTGAATAGTGTCTGTGAGCTGTGTGTGGTCATTAACAAATTACCCACAGAGAAACAGAGTGTGCTGTGGGAGGGATGGCTGGTGTCAAACTGATAAAAAGTTTAGAGGGTGGTACACGTCTGACCTCTGCCTCGTAGGAATCAGCCTTCGGCTACTGATGCTATTCTGGATCCCCCTTCTCTCTCATGAAGTCAGAGGAGGTCAGAAGATGCTGAAGCCACACCCTTTTAGCAGTTTCAAACTCTCAAAATGTAGACACATTCTCTATGTGCTTTACCTCTTAATTAACCCACTTCCTTAACTCAATCTTGTTTCCTCTCCCACCACTCTCTTGAAGGTCACTGATCACCTCAAAATTGCCAATGATCCCTTCTCCTAAAACAATGCTCTCTTCCCTTAGATTCTATGAACTTGACAATATCTTGGCCTCTCCAAACACTCCTCTCATCACCTTCACCTCTCTTTGCCTACCCCCGAGATGAAGATGTTCCTCCAAGGTACTATTATCATTCACCCACCTCCCTTCTATTTCTTCCTTAACAATTTCATTCTCTCCTCAGCTTTATTTTTCACCCTAAGGGGATCAACTCCTCAAAACCTATACTCTTTTAACATTTATCACGTTTACATTTTCTGAAAGAGCTATCACTTCCAACTACACATTGGATGTTCCGCCAGCACGTCAACATCAACATATTCACTAAAGCTCACTGCTTGCCCTCCTTCTAGACGTTAAAGAGTCTATTTCATAAAAATAGCCCACATACCCAGATTGCTCTTTCCACCCCAGCACTAAACTCATGCGGTAAAATGGTTGCCAAGTCTCTATAGCAGTGCTTAATCCTAATGTAGTAACTAGACTGATAACTGCCAGCAGTCAGGCTTGTGTTATGATCTACAGCAAATTCCGATCAAAGATTCCACAGAAGAATACTGATCAAAAGAGAGATAATACAGAACAGAATTTCAAATCCTCATGGATCCAGATTTTCTGGAGCCATGGAGGCTAGATGAACCCCTGAAACTACTGCTCTGAGATAATCTTTAAACTTTAAACCAAAAATATCCCCTATAGTCTTCTTAAACCAAACAATAATTTTGCATGACTAGTGAAAAATGTCTGCCACGAGGATTATAAGGAAACCTAATGGTACAGAGGTCAAAGCATTTGGCTGCAAACCAAAAGGTCAGAGGTTCAAACCCACCAGACACTCTCCAGAAGAAAGATGTGGCAGTCTGCTTCCGTGAAGATTACAGCCTTGGAAACCCTGTGGGGCTGCTCTACTCTGTCCTATAGGGTTGCTATGAGTCAGAATCGACTGCACAGCAGTAGGTTTGATTTTTTTTTTTTTTTTAACATTATGCTATTTTAAGAACTATTTATGTGGGATCAAAGTGACAGCAGCAACCCTAAAGGTTAGAAAGAAACCTTAGGGGACAGTGAGTTTATGTTAATGGGGGGAGGAACAACTCAGAAAAGGAAGGTGAGAATGGTTGCACAACTTGAAGGATGTAATCAATGTCACTGGACTGTACACGTAGAAAATGCTTGAATTGGTGTATGTTTAGCTGTGTATATTCTCAAAAACAACAAAATTATAAAAGTATGTATTTACAACAAAAGAATTTCAAATGTACATCCCACAATTGTGGTTAAAAATAGCAAACAAAAATCCCTCCCTCAACTTTTTGTTTACAGGAGCCCCAAATGATTGAACAAGAAGAAACTGGTTACATGAAGGCCATGGCCAGATATAGCGAATAAAGGTTAAAATGGAAGCAGTGCAGGAGAGAAGGGGGCATTTATAGCAAAGGAAATGCAGATGCTTTCTACAGAAGTAAGAGACCAGCAAAGAGGAAATGTGAAAGCAATGTTGCCATTGTAGAAAAAACAAGCTGAATGATCTAAGGGGCAGTAGAACTCACAGCAGGTGGGGAGAAAACAGAAGCAAAATTTGACAGTAATTTTTAAAACAGCCAGACATTAAGCCAACCCACTGAAACCCACTGCTGCCTAGTCGATTCCAACTCATAGTGACCCTGCAGAACAGAGTAGAAATGCCCCCATAGGGTTTCTAACGCTGTAAATCTTTGTAGAAACAGATTGCCACATCTTTCTCCTACAGAGTGGCTGGTGGGTTTGATCTTTTGGTTAGCACCCAAGTGCTTTAACCATCGTGCCACCAGGGCTCCCTCAGAAATTTAGGGGATGGTGAAAGGAACAACTTTAAACTGGAATTGAAGAGTGGACCTGGAACCAGAAAAAGGACAAAGGGAGCTTAAAAAAAAAAGGATCAGCACTAAAAACTCAAATTGCTAAAACCTTACAATGAAACCAAGAGGTACAGCCAGCTAGGAGTCTAATTAACAAGTGAGCTGTATATCTCTAAATCAAACCAAATTCATTGCCATCAAGTCGTTTCTGACTCATAGCAACCCTGTAAGACAGAGTAGACCTGTCCCATAGTGTTTCCACGGGTATAAATCTTTACAGAAGCAGACTGCCTCATCTTTCTCCCACAGAGTGGCTGGTGGGTTTGAACCACTGACCCTTTGGTAAGCAGCCAAATGCTTTAACCACTGCTCCACCAGAGCTCCTTGTGTATGTCTAAACCAAAACAACCTCACTGTCGTCAAGTCACACTCGACTCATAGCAGCCCCTCTTGAGTTTCCGAGGCGGTATCACTACAGAAGTAGATTGTCCAATCTTCCTCCCAAGGAGTGGCTAGTGGGTTTGAACCTCCAGCCTTCTGGTTAGCAGTCAAGTGCCCTAGGCACTATACCACCAGAGTTCCTTGTATGTCTAATAAGATTTATATGGCAAGTTTATATATAACATTGGCAAGGTTACATATACATGGAATTTCTTTGATTTGAACATAATTTATACCCCGAGTGCTCTATAAACAGTAGTTAAGGAGTTTATCACTAGTTGGCTGAAAGAGTATATGATGGGTTGTGGGGACACAAGATTTGGGGAAGGTAAGGAAGAAAGGAAAAATGTCATAGTCCTAAGGGCACACTCACAGACTTTGGAAAAGAACCCATGTACTTCTATTTTCTCAGGCAATAATGGGATTAATGTAATGGCAGTAAAGTTCATTACAAGCACAAAAGATACCAACTTACCTAGATAAGTAATATTCTCAGCTAATTCACACCCATCAGCATCTTGGAAATATTTTACTGTTTCCTGGTTATTTGCTCCCAGCACATATGTCTGAATAGGAGCTAGTGAGGGAAACAGATAAGACACCGTATAGTTACCAGTCTGCTTTGGAACTTGAGAAATGCCTCCCCACAGACTCAAAGCAAAAGCTGCGAATCTGTGTACTGCCCCCCCGCTGCGCTTCATAGCAATCCTATACGTAGAGCATGCTCACTGCTTCAGGAAATCCTACACCCAACCTTGCAGTCTGAACATTAAAAAGCATCACTAGGCTGATAAAGTGACATATTAAAAAGGATGGTCAAAGTATACTTAGGAAAATATAGATCCTAAATTAAAAACATTAGAACTAGAAAAAGAAGACAAATGGTTATATTCAGTTTCTGCTTACTTTGATGAAAATTATTTTCTAGAGCTAAAGCCACCCAAATTCAAAATGTGAACATTTGGCTTATGCGTAGGCATTCTTCCCAGCTTAATGAAGAGTTCAAAGAGGAATTTCTTATATAACTAACATTACTGAAAAATAACCCAACAAATGTAGGCCTTGAAACTTTGCAAGAAATTATCTATTAGATAAAAATAATTTATATACCTTTCTTGATGCCAGTCTTATATTCCTCCCATTCAGCACTTGGGGTGGACCCAAAGAAATTTCCTACACACAACAGCAGCTAAAATGAGTTTTTTAAACAGATATATGAGATTTTTTAAAATTCAAACAGTATGTAATTGATAGTAACAGTCTCCTAATTATCCTATAGTCTGAAACCAGGTTTTTATTTTTAATCAATATGCAGAATTGCAATACACAATTTTTTAGCAGCAACTGTAGTAGTTACTCTGATTCTATAAATTATTAAATCTTGCCTACTGTTTGTCAAATTCAAGATGGGAATAGGGGACAGGGTCAGGGAAGTGAATTTTCAAAAGCAGCTAGTATCTGAGTGGTCCTCAAATATTCCCAGTCCCATTCTGCCACCCCAAGGCCCTCTCCATCATCCTTCTCCTTCCTTGAAGCATATAGTGATAAGAGAGTCAGACCTCTGAAGAATCCCTCTGAACTAGCAGCCACCTGTAGGGATACAGGGCATAAAAAACACATTTCCTCCCTGCTGTCTTTACTCAACCTTTCATATACGGAGTAATTATCCCCATAGCTAGAACACACCTCCATACTCTGAGAGTTTACAATCCGGTTGACAACCACACAGAACATTTAATACAGAGGTCTTTAGTTCCTAGGAGGTACAAATGATTAATATGCTCAGTGCTAACCAAAGGTTGGCAGTTCAAGTCCACCCAGAAGCACCTTGGAAGAAAGGCCTGGCCATCTACTTCTGAAAAATCAGCCACTGAAAACCCTGTGGAGCGGTTCTACTCTGACACACATGGAGTTGCCATGAGTTGGAATCAACTCAACAGCTGGTTAGTGGGTGAAGCATTTACACAAGTTATCTGACTTAATCCATTCCATACACTGTGGAAATAGATGTGTGCTTACAAAACCCAGCTCCTTAGGGAGGTTGTGCTAGTCTGTTTTCAGTTTTTTGAGCAGTTATAAAGTAACAAGATTCAAATTCAAAAGGTACAAGAAAGTCTACAGTACACAGGGCTCCACTCCCCACCACTCCCCAGCTATCTCAGCTGACAAAAGGAACTCAACCTAACAAAAAAGGAAGGTTTGTGTTCAATCAAGAAATCAATAACGGAGCCCAAACTTTACTTTAGTATTATGTTTGACTACAATAGTAAAATTAAAGTCAGTAAAAAAGAAACATCTTACATCAAAGTTTCCACTTTTCTTCTGAATTGCTCGAACTCTATTAAATAAAACATCAAACTTTCCTTCAACATCTCCACAAGCCAAGCTGCAAACAAGAGAGACAACAGATAAACAGTAAGGCAAATCAGGAAACACAGAAAAGTCAGGTTTCATATATACTAGTCTTCCTGGATGAGACAGATATGTGATCCAGTCTCTCTGGGGTTATCTGGGAGGTTCAGTACATACAAACCTGACTGCTGGGCAGCTCCACCTGGAGTTCTCACCAACCCCTCCAACTCACCATATCTAAAATTTAGCTGATTATTTCCTCTAGCAAGAAGCCAACTCCTCCTCCTTCCTGCCCAAGTTCTGTGGATGGGTCTTTTGCCAACTTGGTCACCAGGAGTCAAAAATCTGCCATCTTGTCACCAAGTCCCATCAATGTCTTTTCCCACAACATCTTTCATATTCATTCCATCCTTTTTTATTTTTATTACTACTATCTTGGTACATGGCTTCAGCCATCCATTCAGCAAACAGGTAGTGGACACCTACAATACACTAAGTACAATATGGCATGTATTATGCTAAGAATAGGAGTCCTTGGGTGGTGTAAAGGGTTCTGTGCTTGACTCCGAGCTGAAATGCTCGTGGTCTGGACCCACCCAGAGGCCTCAGAAGACAGGCCTGGCAACTCGCTTCCAAAAGGTCACAACCTTTAAAACCCTACTCTGCAGACACAGGGTCACCATGCTTCTGAATCTACTTGATGGCAGTCAACAATAACAACATGCTAAAAATATATTAGAAGCACAGAGAGGAGTAAAACTTGGCTCAATCTTCAAAGAGCTCACAATCAGGAAGAGAAACTGTCACAAATTTATAAGAAAAGGGCTATAATAGGAGGTATATGGAAAGTGTGATGGGGTAACGCAAGGTATGGATGATTTGGGCTCCGGTCCTGGTTCTGAGAGTAGGACCACCCTGAGGCTAATGGGTAAGGGTCCAACCTAACTAAAAGGGATCACTTGGGGGCTCAGGAGGCACATGGTGAGGCCAATAAAAGCCTGGGAAGATGGTGGCTCACTGGAGCTTACTGGATTGAACAGTGTGAACATTCTGTTCTCAGACAGGTTAGCAAGTCCCGTGGGGCCACAGCAGCTCTGTGCTGAAGAACAGCCCTTCCCTCCCCTAATCATTGTCCTCCGGTGGAGAGATCAGCCCAGGGGATAAGACGTTGGAGACTTGTCAGAAGAGATTAGCACCAGTAATAGCAGAAACCCTGGGAGGCACATCTGGGAAAAACAGGCATAAGCCAGAAGAAAGCGGAAGCCAGCATCCACTGAACAGAAAACAGCCGCACAGCGCCCTGAGAGGAGTAGACAGAGAACTATAACTCACTAAGGGCTAATACCCTAATACCAGAGACCAGGTGCAGGCTGGGACGGCCACTAGCAGGTCTAGGCAGCAGAAACTCCAGCCAGAGAACATGCAGGGCCTGACTGCTGAGCCTGGATGTCCCCACATAGAGGTGGTCCTCAGAACAGTTCTGCTTTGATTTGTTCCGATGCTGGTCCAGAGGGCTATCCCAAGGCTGCTAGGTCGGAGCCAGACCAGCACTGAAACTGCTGACGCCTAAAACGTGCCATCCCAATGATGTGACGTGACATGATATAAGAGTAAACACTGACTTTCCATCAGGAGGCTGTTATTTAAGAGTGAACAGTGATTGTTATTGTATGCTATCTACTGCATGTGCTAATGCTCTGGGAGTATCTTGTGTGCTCTGGCTCTGATCAGACAGTCGTGATATTTATGGAGGGATCACGTAGTGACCAACCTGTGTATATTGTTGTTGTTATGCGCTGTCAAGTTGGACCCGACTCATAGCGACCTCTCCTCGGGTTTCCGAGGCAGTATCACTACGGAAGTAGATTGCTCCATTTTCCTTCCGAGAAGTGGCTGGTGGATTTGAACCGCCAGCCTTCTGGTTAGCAGTCTGCCTTAGGCACTATGCTACCAGAGCTTCCACAAAAATAAATTTGTATTATTTAAACTACTTGTGGCTGTATACAGGTGGAAGGTGGCAAGAGCTGAGGCTAGTGAGTTGTGCAGTAACTTGTTTCATCATCTCATTTAAGTTTCTCTAATTCTGATTTATATGGTTTTTCACTTCTTACATCATTTTCTGAATGTTTTTGAAGTCATACTGAAACTAGTTTTATCGTATCGTTTTACCACATCTGTATAATATCTGGCGGAAGACATTTTGTCAGCCTGTCTTTCTGGTGTTTTCTTACCCATTTTTAAGCAGAGGAGTGACATGACCATATGTTTGGAAAATGATCTTGTTTCAGTTACAGGTGAAAGATGGTCTGCAGGAACAAATAATTATGAACAATAATACCCACAGGAAGGCCATCAAGTGGGAAGGGGAGACTAGATGAGAAACTTAGAATGATAAAGAACTGGATTGGGGAAGGATGGGAAATGAGGGAGAAGACGGAGAGAATTGTTGCGAGGCTGAGCAATGGGATATGACAGAAGCAGAATCCGAGAGAAAACTAATGAATCTGGTATCTGACAGACTAGAGACTACAGTGGGAGCTCTGGTGGCGTAGTGCCTAAGGCACTTGACTGCTAACCAGAAGGCTGGCGGTGCAAACCCATCAACCATTCCTCGGAAGAAAGGATAGGCAATCTACTTCCATAGTGATACAGCCTCGGAAACCCAAGGAGGGGGTCACTACAAGTCGAGGCCGACTAGACGGCACCTAACAACAACAGAGACTACAGTATGTTTCCTCCGATGCCTCCTCTTCTTTCTATCCATTCGATATAAAGCCATTAGTTTAACACTCTCATTCCCCCGGCCTGCAGAACTACAACTATCTAAAAGGCCTTCACTTGTCTTTCCAGTGTTTTCTCCAAGTTTCCCTAATAGAAACCTTCTTCCTGTAGATTTCATCACCTGCCCCTGCCATTCACACTGCAACTTCCTCTCCTAATAGGTCCTGCACATTATGTCCCATCAAACCACCCAACTTTAAGTGTTTTTTTTCCCCCATCTTTTGAAGCCTAGCACATCCCTGAAGATTTCCTGACAGTCTCAGAAGTCAATCCCCTCTCAAAACTTTAGAAACTCATACAGCACTTCAGAGGAAGCACTGTCACAAACCACTATGCATTTTTACTTGTCTTCTGAGCACCACCTGTTCAAGGAAGCTGTCCACAGCCCTCCAGTCTCATCAGTCACCAATTCCTGTACTTCCTCTTTCACAGCAGTTGCCACATGGTATTATAATCGTTCCTCAGAGAAGTCCAGTTTGTACATCACAGAGTACCTAGAAAGTCATCATCCAATCTGGGCATTTTTACAGTTTCCCCTAGTTCATTGACGAGAGAAAGCTATGACCCCACAGTGTCAACTCCTTCTACCTCAAAACCAAGTCAGCACCAAGCCCTGTTGATTTCATCTCCTCAATAAAACTTTAACTCCTGTCCTTCTCCAAAGCCATCACTCTACAGAATCCTAGTTGCCTCTACTTCAGTTCTAACTTCTCAACATGCAGCCAGAATTGCTTTAAAAAAAAAAAAAAGTTGATCTTGCCGTGATGTGTTTATACATTTCAACAAACTTTTTTCAGGCTAAAGACAAAAGTATCCACCAGGGCTCAATCCTCACTTCCTCAGGGAAGTCGTCCCATTCCTCAGCCAAATGCCCTTATCATGCACCCTCCCGGAGCCATGAACCTTTTTTCGTGATACTTCCCACCATCGTAATTTTACACTTACTTGAATTCTTTGATTAATATGTAACCATAAACTAAAAGCTGCATTAAGACAGAAACAGCACTGGTGCCTTGCCTAGCTCAGTGCCAACTTGCTCAATAAACATTTTTTGAAGGAATTAAGTCCTCTCCTCATCACTCCACCGCCGAAACTCCAAAAGTGAGCCGAAGCAGGGGCCCCATCTATCCTGCCCACCACTATCTCCAGCGCCCAGCAATGGGCCCGATGCTCACGAGTATTTGGTTAATAAACGGGCTGGGGGAAGAAACGGTACGGGAGATGGTGAGCCAGACGCCCGGACGCCTAAGACGGAGGGGACTCCCCTCCTTCAAGGCGAATATAGCTGGGAAAAGAGGCCGGATCCTGGCACGCCAAAACGTGACCGAAGTTTCCCAGGCCCCCTTGACGTTTCCTTTACCCCTTCCTGTCTTGAGAGAGACCCCGCCGTCTTTACACCTGGTTTTAAACACACAGGCTTTCAATTCAAGATTACTCACAGGCGCAGCGGTTTCTGAGCCATAGATCCCAATAACGTGGGATCTGACAAGCTCTGAATAGAGGAACTCCGAACCAGCGATCTAAGAAAAGATGCATTCGCAGTACAAGACGTCAGCGCATTCCAACCAATGACGCTCACTTATCTACGGAGAGCGTCGAGGGGAAAAAAGATTCTCTTACGCGGCTTCGCTTTAAGGAGATGTTAAGAAAGAAGGAAAGTAGTGAAGGGAGGAAGGGAAAAGGACTTTGTTGTTGTTAGTTGCAATCGAGAGTTGATTGCGACTATGGCGGTCACCATGAGGGAAAGGACTAACACGGTTCGAATGATTTTTCAATTCAGGGTAATTTTACAACGTTATTGAGTTGCTAGAATGTTCCCTGCACAATGC